CAATAACACCAATCTCAAAATCGATCTCAGAAAACAAGTTTTAATAGCACGAGCAAAACAAAACATATGATTATACGAGCCGTAAACTGGACTGAATTTTCCTGATTGGATTTAATTTCAATTTCAATTTATTTTAGAATAAATCAAAGTATTTCAATTATATTAAAACATATAAGTAGTTGTCACCGATGGAATCTGTTCGTATTTTTCAGAAGCCAAACCAATTCAAAACTAAACCTAAGAGAAAAGTTCGGAATATTTTTGGGGTGGGTGGGTGTGGGTGTGGGTGAGTGTGGATGTGGGTGTGGGGCCTAGGTGCATGTGGGACATGGGTCTTCTCTTCACATCAACACGCACATAGTAATGCCCACCCCCCAGATATCCACACCCACACCCCGTACAAGATCAAGCCGTACAGATTTAGCTGTACGCATAGGAATGCAACAAATCTTGAGATAGATTTGGATTTGGACACGTATGCCATTTTTTGATTTGGATTCGGATTTGGATTTGTTTTTTGATTTGTACAAATCTAATAAATAGTTTTGGATTTGCTAAGATATATATTTAACATTCTTTAAGTAGCCCATACACTGTAATGAAGTCATTATTGAATAGCTCTTATCGAGTGATAAAAGTTAGCAAGATGAAGAGTTCTTGCAATAAGAATATACTAGTAGCAAAAGTATGGTAATAATTTTAGATTAAAAGACGTCGTAGTGCATGTAGAACTCGATGATCATTTTAGAAAGAGCATTGGTATAGAATTTTATATGGTAAAATCATTATAACTCTATGGAATCTTTGAATTCGTACTGGAAAAGAAGTATCTTTGTGTTCGCTTACATTTATAAGACTGTGACTGTGTGCAATTAATTTCAGTCCTGTTTTGTCTGGCGTGTGGGTGTTGATGTGGGTGTTGTTCTTTTCTTCAGACAATACCCACACCCACACCCACACACTACTGGCTAATATCTATATGTATGAATGGGAGCAAGATTTAATCCAACGCCAGGTAGTACACAATGGAATATACGGAAGGTTTGTTAAACGTTTACTAAATGAAAAATGTGAACTAAACTGACCTATGTCTTTTCTAGGTACATCGATGATATATTCATGACAACTAACCAGAACATAGATGCAATTAAAATAGAACTCGAAAAAGCTGCCAACAGAGATACTAATATCAAAATTAACTATGGAATTGATACACCAGTTAACTTCTTGGATGTTACTATAATCAATGAGAATGGTCATTTAACGACATGTCTTTATCACAAAACAACGGCTGAACCTCATATACTACCATACACATCCGATCATCCACGACATGTTCATCGCAATATACCTTATGCTGGTTTATTACGTGCTGTTCGTATTCGCTCCGATGTATATGACTTCGACAGAGAATGTATTCGTATCGATGTTTCACTATTACTAAACAATTACCATCCAAATTTTATAAGGAAATAATTCAATCGATTCTTCCAAGTAAATAATGCCATGCCTGTTCTAAATGAATTAAATTCTCAAGTTTATCATCGGCTTCATCAACAATTATTGCATCAACCTACACGACGTGAAAAGCAACTACAAGCTATGACTCAATATCCGATTCGATCACGCATAGTATTGCAACAGAAGATATGGGACCAAAACATAATGTACCCAGGTTATCTTGTCGATAGTTCCACGTCAATCGATTTTCGCAAGCAATTTTACAAATGGTGGCGAACTTACTACGCAAATGCCGCAACTCCTTTGCCAAACATTAAAGTTCGATTAGTAGCTGCTACAAACCAGATACTTGAAACATTCTTTATACATACAAAACCACCAAAAGCAATTCTGCCACGTATGGAACACGGTTAGACAACAACTCAAGTATCACCAACAGCCTTTGACATATACCAAAACATTAAAACACATATGTTTTTCCGCAAAAATTAGATATAATTGTAACTTCTATCACAAAATTTCCAAAATAAATGCTACTTTACTTTCCGATCCCTTCTACCCCTGAATATTTCAAAATCTGTCCAGATCATCCTAGTGACAACTTCCCGTGATAAATCTCAATTTTAGATAAGCGCCACTGTGGACACAATACAAAAATGACCCTATACAACCTAAAACTTCCGACATATATACACAACCAAAAACCTACAATAATCATTCAATACCAGCATCTCCATGTTGAAATCATCACACGACCCTAAAAATGAATCACATCTCCATTCGTGTTTACAACGTATGCAATCATCAACACAGTCACTTCTACCATCATGACTCAAAATACCTTAACACTACCACATATTTTACCACGAAAACTTCCATAAAACAAAACAACCCTTGGCAGGTTAAACTAATCCCGCAAAAAAAAAACATTTTAATCCAACTGCTTTCAATTTCAAACGATCCTCGATACCTACGGCCGTTGCCATTGCAAACAAAAAGACATAACCCAGACACATCCCGAAGCGGTCATATCTCAAATAAAACCGTTCGATAGAAATAAAACAATCAACAACAATTACTCTCTTCGATTAACTATCAGATGTTATTAACTTCTTCAGAATTTTGTAAACCAGTCGCTAGAACTCAACCAACCCTGCACACTTCCAAAACTTATTATTGAAAAAGTATTCTTCACATATACATTTCTTCACAATTCAACTTTCCTACTCAAATAACAATAAATTTCGAACCTACCTGATGATGACTGTCTAAGCAACAGTCGAAACGCGTCGTATGGAGCTTGAAATCTACTTCTTTGAAACACACCCACACCCTTCATCGAAATCTGGATGATAACAGACTGGACTCATTCTCAAGATAGTGGCGGAGTTTTGTGTACAAAAATTTGGTTCATTTTACAAAATCAATTTTTCGATAGTTCTCCTTCGGAGATATTAGTCATAACGGATAATTGTAAGATACTGATTAACGATGTCAATATCTAATGTTTTCAATAAGAAAAAGATGGTTCGCTAATATATCCAGTCTAGAGTTACATATGTATCTCTCATGAACAAGTGAAATGATTATTCACCTTTTTCTCTTTTATTAAACACACTTCAATTAATTGATATTGTTGGTGTTCAATTATATTTGGTTAATATTTATAATAAAACTCATATTTAAATAGAAAATTATTTTATGAGAATTTTAAGGAAAATATCAAGCCTTGATAATTTTTGTTTTTATTAATTATCAACTGAAAAGTAGAACAAGATTTGTCTGTGTTCGCTAGTCATTAGGAAAGAAGGAATCATTCCATATTTGATTGATCCTCTGACCAAATCATACTATTGAGTTCATTTTTAATGAAATGTTCATTACTGTAGTATACAGTAAAATTTGCCAATTCATTCCAACGACTTGCAGCACGTAACGAGTCTTGAGTAGCAGTGAAATTTCGCATGTAATTTATGAAGACTTCTTCCCATGCTTCAGCTGGATCATTAAAATGAAAGTTAAATTTTGAAAAATTGAAGAATAACTTACCTTTTTGAATATCTTCAGGTTCATTTGAATCCTCGATGATAATAGTAATAACTAGTTCTTTAGCTTTCATGGTATTTTTCGGACTCGCATAATTCGAAAGTATTACAGATGGATGAATTATGCCACCAAAATCAGAAAAACACGAAAGATTTAGTAATGTATCATTCGAAGAGGGCACTTTTGCTGAGCATTGAGCTATATGCATGATATAATCACCATATGAAAAGAAATCGTCACCCACGCTTTTGTTAAGATTGTCACGTGAATTTTGAAAATATTGAAGAACAGAAAAGACTGCACAACTGGTATTATTTGGTTTCAAACAGATATCGGTTAATCGAACAGAAGCATTGTTTGTTGACAGATGAGCTTCAAGATTAAGAATATTCATTTGCAAATCGAGCACTCGTGTCAGAAAATTTAGGTCGAGTGCCGGCCCAACAACGATCTCAGAGAACGGAGCAGGCGGAGATAGATAAAAATGAGTGACAAACGTTTGATTATCAGGTACGACGATCAATTTTGTCGTGCGAATGGATATACTTAAAAAATGGATTTGATAGAATTTTAACTGACTCTCATTTACTTACTTGGAATATTTACCGGGCACATCCGGTGGAAATGGAGTAGGTGGTGCTTTTGGACAATCCTAACATGCGAAAAAAATACAATGTTCTCATTCTTTTATCACTATCTATAACTTACTGAATGGCCGCACATCGGCTGATTTTCATATTGAGTGTGAACCGGTTCGTTACATTGAAATGTTGATTGATTGTAATAATTGTTTTGACAAACATTATTTGTCAAATTGAAATATATTGGAAAGGGACTTGCAGGATTCTCGAGACCTAAATAATCCAGCAATGATTCTTTTGTACACTTATCGTAAGGGCGGCCACAATAAGAATCCAACGAATGTTGTTCACTATCGCCATAGAGAACATCTCTGACCAAAACAAAAAAGAGTGAATAATCAATATTTCATCTCGATTTTTTCAATTACCGACATGAATCGAGTATACGTTGAGCAAAATCATCGGCAAGTACGTTTGTGATTGACTCCACGGTCTGTCTATCTGGATATAATGTACTATTACCAAGCTTTCTTACAGTTATGAAATGACTCTGCTGTGGATGACATGTCATCGAGCAGAACAACGATCGAAAGTTGTAGAAGCAAGATGGACAATTACCTAACATCAGTTTGGCCATTCCAAGTTGGTCGCTTAGACGACGAATCTGATCAGGTGCGCAGCATGTATAAGTATCCTGACCTGAAAGAAATTTTCTGTTTCTTGTTTCATCATGAAACAGTAGATTTGGACAAAATAGGGATACAACAAATCCGAAGTCTTGGAATTTGTTATGGATTCAGTAGCATTAGATGTCAACAATGAAGCTCTACTTAACTACAGGAATAGTATAGCCAGAAAAAAATCTTTAGAAGCAAAGACCTGCTCTTGGCCAAAAATCATATACATGATTACCAAATAATGAACTATTTGTGCCGATTCCAAATTTTAGTCAAGATTTGTTGCATCCCTAGGACGAAATCTCTCGTGAATATAATTGTAAAAAAATATGATCATCGAATATTTCTTTCTTATATCGAATCAAATCTACCCACCATTGTAAAACATGCTACACATTGATTTCATAGTGATTAACGCGTCTTCATTCATCAGTCGCTGTGCTGTACCATTATAGTAACAATTAGTCACTTTACCCATCGCATTTGGACCACACTCTCCATACCAGATACAATGACCATCCTAAGAGATTTTTAAGATAAAAGAAACACGATTGATGTATCTATTAATGATCTTACTTCTGCTATGGAGTCGCTGAACCAGATGAAAATGATGAGAACCAAAGAATTTAATATGAGCATCTTTAAAGAAAAAAGATACTGGGAGCCTTCCAAAAGTAGTGACGAAGGTGTTTTAATTCCTTATAAAAATTTCTTGAGAAAATAAAACTCTATTTGATCATACTTCAACTAAAATTTTCGTTATCATATGTGCTAGTTATACTAATCTAAGTATTTACATTGAAGCAAACCGTTATAAAAGAAATCGGATCCAATTTTACTAGAATTCAAGTAAGTTCGGTTCACAAAGCTAAAAGGTCCTAATCGTTAGCACCTATTTGATAGATCTCGAACCTTAATCTGCTTGGATCTATTTTTTTATGAAGTTGATTCTTACAGAATCATCGTCTGAGAAATGTATGGAGTGTGTTTTGTATCGATTATCTGATTCGAACTAAGAGTATCATGAGTACGATTGGATGTCAGTTCAAAAATGTTGGGCTCTCTAGTCGAACACATGAAAATACAGCCATGACAGAGTGCATGACACAAAGGTGCAATCGAATTGAATCTAAGGTGAAGTGCGGTAAATATTAAAATAACGCATTCCGACCATCTTTGAAAATATGTGGATGATTTGTAAAAGCTAATGAAGGATATTGTTTGTGTTTCGATAGTTTCATTGAAACATGCATCTAATTTTTGCTTGACGATTATAAAGGATTCAGAACAAATCATAATATGAATATTTATTTCGATCCCTAACAGCGTAATACGAGTATTCTATCATGCTCTATATCTAACCAAATGATATGCGTATTTTAACTCTATAAATGAGGGTTTTGTGAATATTTGCACATGTTTTTATTAAAATCAAAATGGAAACTTTGTAAAAAAATATTTGAGGATTGTGAGAAAGAGACACGTTGTTGATTTTGTTTTTTGATAACATATACAAACGTTTTCCTATTCCCACTTCTACCAAGATATCAGTGTATTTGAATTACAGATGAATGAAATGCATTTCTCAGATTTAAATTTAAGTTTTAATTCTATAAAGAATACATTTTTTAAAGTTAAATTTTGTATTTTTGATGAAAAAACATAATTATTATAACTGTCTATTCCTCTATGTTCATTACGATTTGAACGTTCCGTAATTCTAGAATTTATATCTGTGCATTTCGTGCTTATCTGTCTAATGCAGAGGTGCAGAATCTTCCATACGAAAGAAAAACTTCTCTGGCTAGAAAAATAAACAAAATGGTTCTTTGTGTAGAATGAATATTTATCAGGAGAGTACATTGAAATCGAACTGGGTGTGGGGTGTGGGTGTGGGGTGGAGTGGGTGTGGGTGTAGGTGTCGATGAGAAGAACTTCACGCCCACTTCCACAGCTACATCAACACAGCCACTCCCACATCTACGCACATCCACATCCACACCTACCCATACCTATGCAAACCCACATCCACCATAATAGATTAACATAAAAAATTAAATTTATTGCTTGAAAATTAAATTTATTCTTTAAACTATATTTTGTTTCAAAACACAATAAATCGTTTATTATTTATACTCTAAAATAAATTGAATTTAGTATAATATCCAAAATGAACAATTGTTGTATATGGATATCAATTTTAACCAAGAAAAAATAAAATATGTTTATGTCGTTAGCTTCTAATAGTGATTAAATTGGATAACTACCAAAGTTATGGATAGACAAACACCAATTTCATTCATCAAGCTATGGATTGATAAACATTAATCTAATCCAACAAATTAGGGATTGTCAAACGCCAACTTCGTCTAAAATGACCATTGAAGCTAATTTCATCCAGTTTGTACTGTAATTATTATATTATTTTTTCCACAATCAAAGTTAAGGAAATGATTTTTCTTGAAAATATTTAAATTAAATTACATTTAATATAAAAAGCCGGATCATCTTTATTATTAAATTTAAATATTTAAACTACATTTAATGTATAAAAAACTGGATCATTTTTGTTATTGAATTAAAACTATCAAAACTTTATTTTGATCTTCAATTGAATTAATATCATCAAAACTATATTTTGATCTTGAATATGATATCGTTAATAAACTAGAAAAGTAATACATGGTTTATACAAATTATAACGTTATGGTTACCTGATTCCAATAGAAATGAATTAATAAAAATAAAATTGTTTCGTAAATTCGTAAAATCTTTAAATAAAAAATAAAGATTACTTGATTCCAATAAAAACGAATTCATAAAATAAAGTTGTTTTATAAAAATTCTTAAATAAAACAAATATTACTACGGAAATCCTATATATTTATTATTATTTAAAAATAAAAAATATCTAAATGTTCGGAAATATATTAACAAATTAAAAAATTCGACATATTTATCATCGGCTACCAATTTCCGCCATCGATTACAACGATTCAAATATGGCGCTAGCTTCCAATTGTTGCCATACAATTTATAAAAAACATTTGATTTTTTTCAATTTTTCAAATTTACATCATAACTTTATTTTTTAATTTTTTAAAGGCGAATATAAGGTTTTGACCAAAAGATGGGATATATGTAGGGTTATAGAGGACGACTTCCTCTATCTCGTGGTATATATATTAGTGAATTATTTTGTGCACCGTGGGAGAATACTGAAATTAAAAAACTAAAGAATTCACATTTTTTATATAGACCCCCTATATAAGAATCTAAATCCTGTTCGATAAATGCAGAACCTGATCTAATATGGTGTATATCATTCGACTATCGACAACGCCTACTTGCATATTCTATTTCATTTTCCTTCATCTGTGAGTAATGATGTGGCCTATCAAAGTTCAAACAAAAATTTTTCACATATTTTTTCATAGTGCTGCCTAAAATAATATGTATAGCCTCGTATTTGTCAACCTGAAATGTAATTGAAATATACAGAATTGTAGAGATTTTTTTGCTCTACAAAATGGTATATAGGAGTACTCAAATGGTAATTTATCTGTAAAGTCTATTCATGTTTTAAGGAGACATGATGATGCATAGCAGAGCATGATTTGTACAGAGATGATTATTTTCATTAGAAAGAAACTTAAGGCATTTAGAATCTATGCCTATAATATGCAGTTCGATTAAGATTAAGACAATCAGGAAAACNGAACTTGAAAATTAATAAATGAACCACAAGAAAAGTGACTTATTGTTAAATGTGGAGTTGATTTAAGAAATTGTGTTTGTGATGGTTGCATTTTTGTAAATATAACACGTTGTATGGATGTTTTACCTGATCGACGAAGACCTGTTAATAGAATATTTGGACGCATAAATGATGTCTTATTATCAGTTTTATCCGCATCGACATCATTTCCTACTGTTGATGTTTCTTCAATCATGAAGAAAAAATTTTTTTCATATAAAAATCTGAAAGAGAAAACAACACACATTTATAGTTTTTGACACAAACAAAAAAACAAACAAGAGATAGACTAGGGATATAATGTAAGATAACAAGATATTATACAGAAGGTAAAGATATATCTTTATTTTTTTTTTGTTCAGTTGATTGAACAGGTGAAGTTCGACGACGTTCATTATGTCTAAATAAATGCATTTTATTGCATGATGAAAAGAAAACTAAAAATCAAACATACGATCCAGTTGAAGCACTTGATGATGAAGATGATGATGAAGATGATGATGATGATGATGTACTCGAACTAGATGATTCACGCTTTAATTTATGTTGAGTTGACATATCCGAATGAGATGAACGACCAACACTACGACGATGATTATTATCTTAAATACAACGTTTTATAAATCTTTAGAAAAAATTCTTTTAATAAATGTACCTCGTTCACGATCGTCTTTGCGTCGATCATAATCACGATCTTGACCTATAATGATATTTATTTATTAGTAATACAGTACAATAGGTGATCGTGACCTCTTCTTTCAGAGCGAGAATTTTAATATGTTATCTTCTTTACTATCATCGCTCAACATTATAGATAATCATCGTTTCTTACACTTCATTAGGAATAAACAATGTATAACTATATTCATGACATAATTGTACTCGCTAATAAGAAAAACTAATGGTGCACATTAAGCAAAATCGTATAGAAAAATCATCATTAATAACATACTTATATACGACCCACAAAAAAAAAAAACTAAATATATATTTCTTTGTTCTGATAACCAAAAAGCAGCATTTTAGACAGATTCTAGACAGCTTTATTCTTTTCAATCAATCAACATAGATAAAAATTGTTATACATAATAGTATTTCATTCGAACGAAGGTACTTATATTATTTCGAAATTGTGACGCTAGAATGAGTCAAAATAACGAGTGTGTGTCATATGATAGATAAGAAAAATCATAAGAATTTGTTATCACTGACTATCTCAAATTGCTTACTAAATATAGGAGATAGTTTGCCAGCTTTCGAGACAAATATTTTCACTAAACAACTGCTTTCATCTTCAAAATGGAGAACAAACACTGTTGTATTTATTGTTTTCTTTTTCTATTCTGCATGTGATCCTGTTATTGATGAAAATGATAAACTTCGATGTTTTAATAGTACATTCTTTCTGATTAGATAAGCTGACTTCTATTTAACATGCGACATTTATTCACAAAAATACTACGAGTACTTTTCCGGGCATCAAATACTACAGCAGACCTTTTTCTTCTGATAAACAAAATCATGTAATTTTTATTTAACAGAAAGAAATAAAATAATGTAGGTGTCTTCGAAAACTCTTTGTATATCTTAAAGATAAAGATGATAGATCAGTTCTATATCTAAGGTTATGTAAGTAAAACTTATCAGTTGTTACAAGAGATTTGAGAAAGTCATGGAATCTGTTACAAGCTAAGTAGACTACTTCAAATAGATTGATCACATATGTGTCATGATTTTTCTAAATTGTCAATCAAAAAAACTTCATTTCTTACTTAACACATGTCGCTATCAAAATATATAGTCAAGTATGTTTGGTTCTAGAAAATGAGAAACGACTTTTTGTTTATTATGCTAACTGAATACAATCATGGCTATGAATAGATGATGACTACACAGTTCATTTCATTATTAATCTGGTCGTCTCACAAAATCACTATTCGTACCTTCTAATCAATCAATGTTATTATCATACGTGAATTGTTAACTAATTCTCGTTGTTCTCTGACTTATCTTTCTATGATTGTCATGTAGCAGAATTTGATATGTCCTTCTTAATCAGCTCATCAACATTCATTTAAAACTAAGTTTATTTTTCAATGTTAATATTTTCTTTTTCATCTACTCTCTCGATAGACACATAATATACTTACTCAATAGATGTATCATAATATTTATGTCATTCCAGTATACATAACTTTTTAAACTTCTTATAAACAGAGTTCTGTTTTTATTCAATTAACTTCATCATATTAATACATAAAAGAAAATATAGGTCATGGTGGAAAAAAACAGATCTACATAAAAAGAGCTCTTTAAATATGTACTTGCTATGTTCTAATGTCTCCCTTTTTGCGTTCTGCCATATAATGTATTCTGATCAAATTTTCTTTCATTGTGTATGTCACTGTGACATGGTAACATCCGGACATTATTTATATGACTTTGTTATTTTTGATAATTAGTTCTTCACAAGTTGGTTTCTATTTTATTTTTTCTTATTTCAAATATATTCTTTAGTAACACTGACAAGTTTATTACATTCTTAGTAGATGAAGTATTACGAAAAACAAAAACAAAAAGTTTTATCATATGTTAATATGATTCTCGTATAGGCATAGCTCAGGTTTTTTTATAAATTATTTATGTCAAGTAAGAGTATTTTGCATCGTAAATTTGTTGTGTTATATAAAAAGAAATACTAAAAATAGCTTTCATTAAGTTTGTTTCAATCATACAAAACTAAACGAAAATGTAATAGGGAAATTTCGTAGGTATTTTTTATTTCAAACTAAAAACTATGTTCTGAGTGTAACAATGAGTAAATTTTATTAAAATATTAAACAAAATATAGAGATATTCATTTTGTCAATACACATGGAGTTTTTTATGATCAATTGAAAACTCATTCAAAAAAAAAAACATCATATATCATATTTTTTATGTCGTACAGCAAGTTTACGATAGTAAATGATGATATATTGCGCTCAGATAACCTGTCTAACTTGCATTAAATCTTTCTGNATAACAATTTAAATTTATTTTAAATTAAAATGTTAGTATCAAAAAAATTTTCATTTAATTTAAATTTATATTGGCAACAGTTTTAGTTTAAAATAAACTTACAGGAAAATGCCACCCCTATCAGGAACCGAACCGAACCGAACCATTATAGTTCGGTTCGGTTTGAGTCGAACCGAACCGATCTCGAACCGGTTTTTTTAAAATTTAGTCGAACCGAACCGAACCCGAACCGATTTTTTAAAACATAGTCGAACCGAACCGAACTCGAATCCGTAAAAGTCGGTTCGATTCGGGCTCTGTTGACTATATCAATCAATATAACTAAATATTTCAATTCTATTTTTTAATTTGCTTAAAAACTTTTCTTTTATCAGCATAATCGTTTTATTCAAACAAATAAATCTAGATATTCAATTTATTCTTTTTATCTCATAAAAATATGTCTGATCATTTTTCATCAATATAACCTGTCAATAATATTTGATTATAAGTTAAGATATTTAGAATATGTCATAGTTTATTGACATTCAATTTTCACACCTCTAGAACAAGATCAATACAGTTTATTATATATTAAACGCTTGACAAAAACACAAACAACATTGAATAAACAAGTTTATTTTTTTCGTCCACCACGTTCTTTCAATTGTACATATATAACTGAACCTTTCATCATATTATAAAATCCAAGTGAATTTGAATCTTTAACAAACATTTCATTATAAACAAGTTTTTGTTTTCCAGCCGGCATACCACCAAGTAAATCGGATAATTTAGCTTTAATAACCGAAATCTAGAACAATAAATAAATAAAATAAAAATTATTAAACAAAAACAAAAAACAGTAACGTACCGAATCAGTTATTGGCAATGTTAATGGTATAGCTTGACCGTTAAGATTCCATTCCGGTTTTTCTGGTACAATTGGTAATTGCACTGTAATAGTAACTTGACCCTAGAAAAAAAAAAAAAGAAATATTTGTTTTTATTTCTAAATAAATCAAATAAAGTAATTTATTCTTACACGTCCAAATGTTTTATAAAATTCTTCTTCAGGTATAAGTTGATCTTCAGTTTTTGATCTTTTTGCAGCTGGTTCTTCTGGTAATGGTGGTGGATGTAATGGTGGTTGTGGTGCTACAGCTACCATTGATGGCATAGTAACCATTGTATGAGTTGCTTGAGGAAGAATAGCAACTGGTTGAATACCAGTACGTGGCATAATTGATGTAGTAACAAGTGTTCGTTGAGGTGGTGCAGCCATAGGAACAATTGGTTTCGTAGCTAATGATGAAAGTTGTGGTGGTTTTTGAATTGTTTTAGCTGTTGATGAATATGTTGATGTTGTTGTTGGTTTTGGTATAGATGGACCAATACGATTGGCTGCTGAAGCATCATCATCAATTAAACCTTGACTACGATGAATAGCATTTATTTGATCTTCTATTGTTATATTAGCCAATGCTTTTTTCGATGTTTTTTCAGCTATAAAGAAAAATAACTCGTTAGTGCAATCTTTACGATAGTGAAAATGTGAAACATGATATAACTGCTGTGACTAATCAAAACGAGATTGTTTTCTTTTTTTCTATCTATCTTGGAAAACATTTGTCTCACCATTTTTTCATTTAATTCTTCAGAAATGCAATAAAGAAATAATTCATTTCTTTTTTTTATAGCGAAAACAAATTTTTACTTCTATATCTCAACACTCGTTTTATATCATGTTTCACAAAACAAGAAGAAGATTTTACCTGTTGCTGTATGGCCATCCCATTGAACTTTATCATCAGGACGTCGTTCTTCTTCGCCAATCTAAAATAATAAATTGATTTATATTGAATAAAAAAATAAATAAAAGTTAGGTTTTATTTACTTTTCGACCAATAATTGTTTCTTGTGAACCCATACCAAAAATATCTGTACGACGTTCGGCAAACTTTTTTAATTCAAGTTCAACATGAGAACCTATATTAAAAATTTTCAATAATCAAAATGAAAAAATAAACAAATGAATATACCTGGTTCATAGACTTGTTCTTTTTCTTGTTGTTCAGCAACTTCTTTTTCTCGTCGTTGAAGCCATGCTGGATCAAGTAAAGCTTAAAACGAGAAAAAAAAAGAAACAAATAAAAATACAACAATGAATAAATGTATCAATTTACCGTATCTTGTATGAGTTGATATATTATTAACTGGAATTTTCTCTTTTGTAATTGGTGATATTAAATATTGTTCACCTTGATGTATTGTTAACATTTTTTCTAGAAACACAAAGCAAAAGATTAATAATAGAATATTTCATAAAAATGAATTTACGTTTTGGATCATATGGTTTAATAATAACATCTTGTGGTTTTAATGGTGCTGGTAATTTATCTGTAGGTATAGCTGGTGGTAAAGCAGTTGTTGGTAAACTAGAAGATAATGGTGGTGGTAATGGCGGTTGACTAGGCGGAATACGAGATATCATAATAGGTGCAGGAGGAGCACCACGAGGCATTAATGGTGGTTGAGGAAATTGTGGAGGTGGTGGTACATTCATATCTTCATCATCCTGTTCCATATCCATTTCTTGCATATTAACAGTTGAAGTCATGGCTGATGGTGGTGAATGAGGTGGTGATCCCATGTCCATTTCTGCCGAAAGATCAGACATACTAATCATTGTTGTTGATGTTATATGGTGAAAGTTCTAAAACAAGATGAATTAAAAGTTTATCTGAATATTTTTATACAAATAAAAACTTACATTTCGATCTAAACGTTCTTGTAGAAGCATTCGTGCACCAACCATTTCAGGTGTTGTTGGAGGCTA